GGTCAAGTTGCTGATCATCTTTATGCCTCGTCATTTGTAAAATCATACTGCTTGCCTCACAGAGTTATTGTAAGAGTTAAATGAGTTAATATATGTGTGTATGTTGTATATATATTTATATATGTGTGTGTATGTATATATATATTCATATATATATATGAAAGGTTTAAGTGCATTAACTGGTCCATAGAAAATAAGTCTTCATTAAGCTGAGGCGGGAGGGTATAGCTCAGTGGTAGAGCGTGTGCTTAGCGCGCACAAGCTCCTGAGATGCACACATAATGAGTACTTAGTAAATGCAAGCTTTTTGTTGTTGTTTTGCCTTTTTAAGCTAGGTATTCCTAAGGCTGCTTTCCTGAGAGGGCGCTTTCTCTTTTTTTCTATGTCTCATTTGCTTGGGAAAATTAGAGTCCCAAAAGTGAAAAATGTGAATACTGTGTTTGATTTCCCATTTGCTCATTTTCCCCAATCCGGGTAGCCTTTGGGAGTGACCTAAAGATGTAAAGTAACATAGAAAGTAGGCGAAGAAGATATTACCTTCACAAAGCCTGTTTTCCAGTCAGCTCCTAGGGGGTCTCTTGCCTTACTGGTGGTGGATTCTGTCTCTGCCCACAGTTCTTTAGTCCCTGCCTGTTCCAGAGCCCTTCCTGCAGGGGCCGCTGGCTGGGAGGTGTAGTGCCGTGAGGCCAGAGCCCCAGGCTCACTCAGCAAAGGCAGGATTGTAGAAGGCAAGCAGATTCAAGCATTCTCGGTGCTTCCTACTTCAGTCTGCCAAAAAAAAAAAAAAAAGTTGTTGTGTGTGTGTGTTTTAGATGGAGACACCGAATACATTTCAAAGGCAAAATACAGATTAGTGCAGCATGAGTTCTGTGACATTTGTTAAAGGTCTTTGGAGAAGATGACAAAACAAGAAGCTTCCCACTTGCATGGGCCCTAAGGTTTGGTGCAAACATTGTGGGTGCAAAATCAATAAACATGTACTTTACCACTGAATTTTGTCAGGGTGTACTTACTACCCCTTATTACTGGGTAGTCACCGGGCTGTAGAAGAGTTATTGTCATCTTGATTTTCAGATGAGTCACCGCCGGGTCTCTTGCCCCCAGAGGCACTTCATTATGATTCAGTGCAAAGTACAGAAAGGGCTCCAGCTTCCGGGAGTTACTGGTTGGGGTGGGGGTTGCGGTGGTTCCGCGTTGGCATGAGGCTTAATTGACACCTTTGATGTAGCCGAAGACAGAACCCGCACCTCCCACTGCTGCTTTGAAGACGTCAGCCTTGCGCAGAAGAGGCATCTGCTGATGAATCCTGCATCTCATTCAGCCTGCTCTGGGAGCAGCCTTAGCCGTCCCCAACTAGTCCAAGCGCTTCCCTTTTCTGCGGTGCGGGGCTTAGTGCTGGGGGGGAGCTCTGCCTCTTGCTCTGGTTGGTCAGGTTAGACCCCGAGGCTGTGTCCATGTTAGAACTCATAGAAGGTAAGTTAAATGCATGATTGCTCTCCCTCGTGGAAAATGTTTATTCTGCACCCTCGAGAACGTGTGTGTCCCTTGCAAATCCTACTTCACTGGCTGTGGATGTAAAACGTGTAAAAAATGTTGACATTTTTACAGGTGAAATGGTGGTGACCTGATATATCTTTATAGAGTCATGTCTTTAAGTGTTTTATCAGCTCTTAGAGGTGTTGTTACTCAGAGAAGAGAATGGCTTACCTGAGTTCTGTGGCTTTGATTCAGTTTAGGGATAACGTTGTGTAAAAGTCTTGAGAGTCAGGTCGATCCTGGTGATTTAAACCTGTTAGAAAGCAGCTTTTATTTTTAACAGCAGTAAAGACTAACTGTGAGGGGTTCCTTGAATGCCAGGGCCGATTACTTTGTCCTGCTGGAGGCAGGTCCTTCAAGAGTTAGGCTAGGGGGATGTGCAGGGCACCAGTGGATGCAGGCACTTCTGGAAGTGAGTTCTTAACTCTAAAAAGACAGTGATCTGTTTTAACAAGTTGCTGGAACTATCACTTGGGAGCCGTTCTAATGTTTATTCCTCCTGGGTAGTACAAGGATGCTAAATTCAAGAATTAAGCATGAATTCCACTGAAAGTGTCTCAGGACCTTAAACACATGCCTAAAAGTTAAATGCATCATTAATGAATTCAGCCGGGAAGTTGTGAAAAGTACATTAAAAATTTTTTTAATGTAACCTGCTGTTATATTAAACACAGGACTAATGAAACAGTGAATTTCTGAAGAAGATTCCTCCCTGAAACTTTGTTTTCAGGACTGTAGATAAAAAGTTGTCTGGAATTTTAGCAAATGTCCCTCTTTAATCATTTGTTTCTCTGAGAAGGTGATTTGTCACGAGAATTCTTTAATACGCATTTTTTTCTCTGTGTGGTTCTTTGTGCTTCCAGTTAATGGAACCCCTGGTAGTCAGCTCTCTACTCCGCGCTCGGGCAAGTCTCCAAGCCCATCACCCACCAGCCCAGGAAGCCTGCGGAAGCAGAGGGTAAGAAATAAGCACGCTCCTTGTTTAAGACGTGTCCAAGTCTCGGTGCGGATGGCACAGGTGCCAGCAAGCGGCCCTCTCATAATAGCGCTGCTTGTCTCTAAGTGATAGCCAGGCGAGGGCAGGAGGTGACCAGCAGTGGGTCCCTTATTCTGGCTGTGGTTTCTCTGAGCTCAGACTCGGGGCTTCTCATTTCCCTGTAAATGTGTGCAAATCTTAATTCCAAGAAGAATAAACAGTTGCTACTTCACTTGTAAATGCCCCACTCTCTTGTCCCAAATGCACAAAGATTTTAATGGCACTGGTTTGTGAGCTTCCTTGGCTGTAATGAGTTTCGTTAAAGACATCATCACTGATCACCAGCCTCCCTAAAGCAGGAAAAGGAAACCTGCCTGGGTTGCAGAGGTGGGCGGGCCCTGGCGGGACGTTGCTTTGTGATATAGAACAAGTGGTCCAGAGCAGCTGAGGGGCCACACTGCAGGGATGGGTACATGTGACGGCTGTTTTTGGGAATGAACCCCACACTGAGCACCTTCTCTTTCATCACAACCTGCATTTATCTTTTAGCTGCTTCTGTAATAATGGAGAAGTTGATTGAGGAGACTAAAGTCAAAAAGTTACCGGAAACAGTGTTAGCTTCTCCGTGTGAAGGAAGAGGGTGGGGATTAGCTTTTCCTTCAGGATGGAAGAGCTGCTGTTCTGATACGCTCACACTGGTGCTGTCTGTCTTTTCCAGTAGCATCAAGGCAAGAATAAAAGGAGGAGAGGGGTAGGGAAAGTGCAGGGGGGGAAATGGGAGGCCTTTCATTGTCCGGATTTCACGAGCAAGGTGAGGAGGAATGTGTGCTCTCAGGAGGTCTGAGGATGCTGCTCTCTGAGCATTTGAATAAGCTAGCGCCCCTTGGCGGCTTTTGAATTCAAAGCCAGGGTTCCTGAATTTAGTTTCTTGTATCATGTGCTTTAAAATGAGACTTCGAAGTTCCATACATTAAAACTGCATCCAAGATGGAAGCTCCTCTTTTCAAGCCTCCTGCCAAGGTCATGACCACCCGTCCTCTAAAAGTGGGAGCAGGGGACTGAGTCAGTCCCTGACCCCGTTGGAGCCTGGCCCACCAAACGCCAGGTGGTACTGTCTCGCTCCACGGAGCCTCCTGGTGTCAAGTCTAGCTTGTCTAGGCTACTGGATGCGGCCTGGAGCTTGGCACCAGCAACTCCACTAAATGGCTGTGTTATCTTAAATAAGTTTGTTATCCTCTCTAAGCCTTAGGAAAAACCAAACCAAACCAAAAGAAAAAAAAAAAGGCTCTTTCCAGATAGAAAAACCCAGTCATTCTCTTCCAGTTCCAGCTGAGTGTTCTCACTGTGGTTTCTTCTTGGCCACAGTCTAAAGTGCAGGGGTCACTGGGGAACTATTAAAAGAAGAACTGGCCAGTGGGGGAGGGTGTAGCTCAGTGGTGGAGTGCGTGCCCAGCATGCACGAGGTCCTGGGTTCAATCCCCAGTACCTCCATTAAAGAAATAAATGAATTACACCCCAAATGTACATATACATATTAAGATAGATATATGTTAAAAATATAAAATATATATGTAATACATAAATAAGTACCTGTTAAAAGAAGAATTGGCCAGATTAATTTAATCTTTTAAATGTCTGTCCTCGAGTGGAGGAAGGGGTAGTGGGGTGACTTGATTTCTTGTAAATGTTACCCAGCGAGACCTCCATCTATAGGTGCAGCCGTTAGAAGTAGGACAGAGAGGGTCCTCTTGCATAGGACATTCTCTTTTTTGAAGTGTATGCTTTGGAGAGTACACCTGGCGTAGAAATCCCTCTTCGTCCTTTGGGCTGATTAAATTGGGTTCGGGATTAGCTGCTGCTTAGTTGTTGAGGTGAGATTAGAGTGAACGAGACTCTCTGCCACCGACCTGAGCTTCCCCCGGCTTGCTGACAGTGGACACGTCCATCTTGGGATAGAAAGCACTGGGCTCAACTGCCCTTTTGTTGGCAGAATGAGGCTAGAATTTACTTCTTCTGCCCTCTGTATTCTCTGCTTCACTGTGGCTTTGTCCAACTGAGGCAGAACATTTCCATCCAGGTCCCAGCAGCTGTGTGGCCAGCGGCTTATATAATTAACATCACCAGGGCTTGGAGAATGATTACACGGAATGGTTCTCTCACAGTCTTTATTTTGTCTTTATTTAAACTACCAGTGCAAGCACCGCACGTGAGAGGGAAAAACAATCCCGTGTGTTTTAAGGAGACAAAAGGTTCATTATCATCTGAAAGCATTTATTAAGCACATGTTGTGAGCAGAGCACAGGATAATTCAGAGACGGTTAGGTTTCCAAGCTTTTGAATTGAGGCCATAAATGCACATCCTCCATCCGTGTACCATGTCAAGGCGTAGAAACATTCCCAGCTGCTTTAGTGAGAGGAGCTTTCATCTTGGTGTGGCGGCAACTGCATCAAATAATCCCTCCTGGTTAAAATGAGCCTAGAATATCCCTGAAAACTGATCCTGTTTCAGATTTGGTTAATATTCTTCTCAAATGGTTGGCTATACTCCTATGCAGGAAATACTGAAATAAGTGAAAGATGGCGAATGCTAAAAGAAGACACTTCAAAGAATAAATTAACTCTTTTTATTGCAAATTGGAAAACAGTAGCTACTTCTATTTTTCCTCCTGTGTTGCATAGCAACACGGCCAGGAAAATGAGTTGGCTGCCTGCCCCCACCACACACACTCTCTCACACACACACATGCATTCTCACACTTCGTACATCATTTTGAAACACAGGAATACAAGTTGGTTTTGTTGTTTTTTTAACGGAGTATTGAGACATTTGACCCCTTTCTTCACAAGTAAGAAAATCTGTATTTTTTATTTATATTAATCATGATGGTTAATCACCTTTTTTTTCTTCCATTAAAATCATATTTTTATGTTACCCCCTTGGGTATTTTAGAATAGTCATATAGTGTCTGCTTGCCAGATATTTTTTATCATGAAATTACTGGTGGCAGTGTACAAAGCAACCCCCTTATTTTTCCCAAAACACTGTCATTGAAATTGCTGTCTATAGAAGCGTTTGGTCACAGAAGCAGATCCTGGAGGATCTTTTCCACCCATGAACTTTTTGGGGTCCCATTTCTTAATACGTCAGGAAGAAACGTGTTGTGTAGGTTGAATGAAGCTCCCCATTATACTCCCACATCCCTGACTTTTGTAGATTATCTGATCAGTCAGATGATGTGAGGAGTGGGTGGTTCAACATAGAAAAGAAGCTGAGATTCTAGACTCTCTCGGCAGATCTGAGCTGGTTGCCTGGCTACCAACAGAGAGATCTCGTAGCAGAAAGGGGCGGAGGGAAGAAGAGGGGAGATGATGGGTGGGCGGTTGGGGAGTCGGAAAGAGCATTGGAAAGGGAGCAGGGAGGTCAGGTTCACATTCTTTCTGTCTTCCAAACATACAATTTCGAAAAGGCAATGTTTATTGGGTGTATGCGGTGTGCAAATGCAACCCTTGAGTTGCTGCTCTGGGACCAGAATTTGCTGAATGCCAGCTGGGGCTCCTAATAAATTATTGTGTGAGGTCAGCATGTTCCTCTTCTACCCCGAATGGGAAGGAAATGTTCAGGAAAGAACTGCCTCGGCACATAGTAGCAGAGGTGACACTGACAGACCTCAGGGGCTGTAAGACAATTGGACACAGAGCAAAAGCTCATGAGCAGATCAAGCCAGTAAGGCAAAATAAGCATCATGTTTATCTACTTAGATGGTTTCTCAATGATTACCTTTCCTCTTATCCAAACTTGGTGACTCTAAAAGGTCTAATGACATTAGAGACCAAGGATGCCGTTCAGTGTTGCTCCACTCCTGAGAGCGCCTCAGGGCACCTAAGAAACCAAGTAAACGAGTCTGTACCGCCCTTCATCTTGCAGGACCTGTATCGCCCCCTCTCTTCGGAGGACTTGGATTCAGTAGGAGACTCAGTGTAAAAGAGACAATGGAGCAATGTATATGGTTTGTGGTTGGGTGAAGGTTTCGTGTCTCCTAAGCAAAAGTCTAACGGCAAAATGCACAAAAGAGTTTTGCATACCTTACAATTATGAAGCCCAAATCATATAAAAGTAAATATCCAGACATTTTATATTCATAGTGTTAATCCTTGAAGGAGATTTTTTTTTTAATATCTCCTACGTTGGTTTGATTGCAGGACCTTGAACACAGACTCCCTCAATTGCTAAAAATTTTGTGCTAGGCCTGGTTCTAGATGAATTTCATATATGGGCCCAGCCTTGAGTATCAGGACACACGAATGATGTGTTAGCTCTGTAGTTATTCATACTCTGAATGTATCAATGCAGAGTCATAATTTCTGTAGATGAGGTTTCCGTGTTAATCATAAGTAGACATGTAGACAGAATTTTTCTGTACAATTCTGTACACATTTTCTGGTCAAGCAGATTAAAATGGCATTAGCAGACATTTTTTTCCCTCAAAGTTATATTCTTTATAAAATTTGGATTGTTGATTTTTAAAGTACTTTTATTGCAAAATAATTAAAATATTCAAGTAGTGTTCTTTTTCTTCCTAGACAGTATTCAGAGCGGTTTATCATTTTGTGTGTAACGTAGGTGAGGAAAAGCTCACATCAAAGACACATCTCATGAAGATGCTCACATCAGGCATCAGGAACTTTCCTTGTTTTTGTTGTCAAGTAAATTTCACTTTTTAAACTTATCTTTGATTGGAAACAGCAAAAGTATAGCTTAAACTGTATACTAACATGAAGAACTTATTCAATGACATTGTTATAAATTATATAATTCCTCCCTACAGCCATGTATGTGATTTTTGAAATGTGCAAAGGCTGAAGCTAGGAAACTTTTTTTAACACACAGACCTAAAAAAATTGTGTCTGGAGTTCTTCCAAAAAATCAATTTGAAAAGCAAAATTCTTTTCAATGGTGCTACATAAATCTGGCCAAAAATATC